AAAAATAAAATGGAAATATTGAAAGTGAATGTGTGAACAATGGCAACCCTAATTATAAATAAAAAAATCCCATTTCGATAGTTTAAGCTTTCAGTCAATTGTATAGAATTGTTAATATTCGTTGATAATTTTGCCTACAAAAAGATGAAAGCTTCATGAGTAAACCATTCAGAACAGAAGATACCATATCTCTAATATTCTATTGAGGGACATAAACATGTACTCAGTAAATGAATTACTGAATAATATTGTTAATGAGATAATTACAGGAGTTAACTTTAATGTTTATAGATTTGATATTATTATTTTTCATTTAAATTGATTCATACAAGTTTCTGGTCCTGTGACTAATTGATACTTTACTTAATTAGTTAAATGTACATTGTTGTTGTGACTTTAAACTAGGCTAATTATCGTGTGGTTTATTGCCAATCAAAATGTCTATCATACAATCTTAGCACTGCTCCAAACCAATGAAGTTCGATCGGTACGAGCAGTCTAACGTCCCTATTGGTCCATTATCCTCCTAGCCTTTCTCGTTGAGTCCAGAACGCCAATAACAGCTTCGATTATACGAATCATCTATGGGGATCGATGGGTACCATGTTAATTGTCTAGATTTTAAGCGCTTGTAGTGAGATTTGAAGATCTTGTGTTCATTACGCAGTAGATATTAGATACATAACATTTAAGGGTCAAGTACTAGAACGAGAGAACCGATCTCAAATTTTATTTGGTTTTTTATTTAGCAAAATAAAGACGGTTCAGGGAAAACATTTTTTTGATAATGTAGTTTGCTTAACCTGTACACTCGTATTTACAGTTAATTCTACACAGATAATAGTCTATAATAAAATAGAGGTGTTATGTTATTTAACAATTTGATAGAGTTTTCAAACTATGGATATAAATTACGAAACAGTTCTGCATATAATAAGAGACAATTGTTTATATTTAAATGTAAGAGATAATTGTCTACTTTATGAATATAAAAAGTGGTATAAGACAGTAATTGCCAGCTAACGATTTTTGTTAGTATTGGTGATCTGTGAAGATAATAGAATCTTCAGTTTTAAAGCACGAACTGATCTTAGCTAGAATACCACTGGGAACCAGGGTACACCGAACAGTTCTCTCGTTCCAGTGCACATCCAAGATTCCGCAACCGAGTATCTAATACAGGACCTCAGTCTTGCGCGCGAATTCGTACCCTCTAGACCACTGAACCTGAATCCGATGGTGTTAATGAAGTTAGATGAAATGAATTCAGTGGGGAAGAATGACACTATAGGTCTAATACTCTTTGTTCTTACAAATTCTTCTGGAATTTTCAAACCGATGAATAATATCTGTAAAAAAAGAATGACTAGGAATTTTGAAGAATTATCAGAATACTGGAATTCAGTGATTATTCATAGACTTCAAAGTGACATGAACACCAAGAATGCAATATTTTTAATCAGAGAGAACATTGGCATTTATTGGAATGCAAGCATACTCTACGAAATGCAGTGCCTTGTAGATGTGGCGGTGGGTCCATTAATCTAAATGGTTTATTTTATTTTTTTAAGTTAAAATATATACATTTTTATTTTTGTGTCCTGCGATCTGTAATGTTTGGGGACATACCCTTTATTGATGTGTATGAATCAACATCTTACGTGGAAATGTAAGCAGCCAGTCCAGTGGATTAGCAAACTTAGGTTATAACAACTTTATGTACCCTTAAAAAGACTTCTTGTTTTTTACGATGCATTTATTGTATTTCCAAGTCAGTTTACTTAATAATTTGCAGAAGTCTCTGAAAATTATGCTTTTCATATAATTCATCATTAAATGTTTTATCATTTCTTCTTTGTCCTGTGATGTCAACCAGATGTTCCACTAATAAATCCATGATTGGGTCCTTCTTAATTTTTAGTTAAGTAGTGACGACTTTGGGATGATGCTTGTCTACAATTTTCTCATATCTAAATGTTTTGCTTGGGTCATGTGCATAGACAATTTACCTTAATCCAGTTCATAAAAAGTTATTCGGACAGAGAATTGAAGACTAGAAAACCCAAGTCACTCCATATGTTTAATATTTTTATCATTGTATTTGGTATATTATTGTTCAACACAAAAATACTTGGTAACTCAAATGGTGTATTTTGTGAACAAATTAGAATATTCATTTTCTATTCTCTGGTAAATCTTCACTGAATATAGTCTATCATTTGCTTTGCATGTCCTCTTCCCCAATTTATTTTGAACAATATTATCGTTTCTTTTCCGATAACTGACTGATCTCGCATAGGACTATTTTAGTTCCCATACACTTCATATTTCAATTTATTCACTTTAAACATTACGTAATGGCTTTTTTAAAAAAGGGTTTCAGGTTTAAATTCACTTGGTATTGTTTGTTTGAATCTTCCGATTGATGTTTAGGGCTGCAATTGATCAGTCTCATATTGGCATATGTGCAAACTGTACGTATTGCCTCGATATAGCCTTAATTCACAAGCAGTATATGTGAATGGTACTGAGTTCGAATCCCAAAGTGACCATCAACTCTAGATGCAGGTACATCCACCTGAAAAGTCCTATATAGGACGAAAAGCGCGTCCTGGATCCCACTGCTAGCCACTATTCATCTTTATATATAATGTTTTAGGCTAATATTATTCTTCGCCATTGAAAGTTAATACTTTAACGTCTGATGTCAACACAATTCAGCTCAGTATGAATTATTGCCAGAACAACCAACTTTTGGTTATTCAGTGTTGACTAACTTATTCAGCAATACTAATTCTTAAATTAGATGATAACATAAGTGCACTTGTCTCACCTTAAAGTTATTTGTACATGTTATCGGTAATAGATTACAGAATGACTGGCTTATTGAATTCCAACACTCGTAAACTTCCTTTAAGCAAACTAGTAAGAATAAGCTGAATATAACTTACGATTTTACTTCAAAGTATATCCAGTAATATGCTTATAAGTGACCTTAAGTTTCCGATTATCAGTAAAATAATTCTTAAAATAAACCGGCAATGGTGTATTATTCTAATCAGATTAGAAGAGGAAGTTAATATTTCATTATGGATAGATTTCCTGTAACGGAAAAAAAAACAATATCCAAACTATCTTCTTTGTTCATTTGATATCACAATTAGATAATGACTAGAACATACACTAATGCATTGTTTCGTAAATTCTAAAATTTATTATGTTGGTCAGTTAACAGAGAATATTGAATTGACTAAATGTATAAGTGTTATCAGTTTTCTTAACAAATGTCTTGAATATTACTCAAACTTGGATCTATTTTTATATAGAATCATGCTTCTTTACATAAGTATATTACTCTCTCTTTCTACATTATAACACCTTGAATAAAGTGCTACTTCACCACACATATTAATCAATGAAAATTCAATCAATGTGTTTAAAGTTTTACAAATATATGTATATGCATGGTTAAGTATGTTAATGGGCGGTCGATTATGTTTACCTTAGTTCTCTTTTTATTTTTCAACGAATATGAAGTTCGCATACTTTTTTTATAAAATAAACAATACATGATTACAATATTTCACCATCATCATCATCATCATCATCAGTAGTAGTAGTAGTAGTAATAACAACAATAATTGAGAAAGAAATCGTTAGTCTATTAAGACTAACAAGTCTATTAAGACTGTTTACAGTAAAACTACATAAACGATTTAACTAATTTTTATAGGATACAGTAAAGTATTGGATGTTTACAATCAATAGTTAGAAATGTTCATGTATAACTTTGAAGAAATTTATAATCTTGTTGAAAGATGAACACGTTTTCACAATGATGAACTCAACCAATAGGAATAAATAGTAATAGGTATACTATATCATTAGTTACTGTATGACGAGATTTTCATTTACATTAACCTTAGAGTTAGTTACACCTTTAGACTTAATTGTATATTAATCTGAGAACTTCTTTAACACTAACGTTAAATAGATAAGCTATCAAATAAAAACAATACTGACAAATATAAGATAGCAAGTTATGTTCAACTGCTTACAAGCTATGTGGTTATAAATCCAAAGAGTTACTTTGTATACATCAAATGCCTTTGTAAAAATTAATAGATTGATGTATTCTTTTAAGGACAAATGATAAGTGAAACATTATAAACAATGCACTGCATTGGAAGATCTCAGCCTATGTATCCTAGTCTGGATCAAGACAATCGTCTATCTACCTGTGATTTGCGTGAATTATAATTCGAATTGCCGTCAAAACCTTTCTACTGATTTGCTTCCACATTTACAGTGAGTATGAGTACACCGCAGGACGTGCATATCGTAAATAAACTGAACCGCATAAAATAATTAACAATATGTACGTATAAGTTTCAATAATAGAATTGAATAGCTTCAAACTAATAAAGGGTTATGAATAAATTTTAAGGTGATAAAAACGGTATTTAAATAAATGACGGTTTCATAAATGTAGGATGATTCTTTCAAATATTATTAGTTTCCGGTCAGAATAAATTATACTATCGAATGATCATGAACTGCTCTAGCCAATCAGAAAATATGGATAATTAATTTTGTAGTAGAATGAATATTTCTAGTTTGGAAATATGCCTTGAATGGTTAGATTTTAAAATCTGAATCGAGGTTAATGTTTATAATTGAGAGTTAGTTTATGTATATGTACTATAACCCATATACTAACCCTACCATACGTTGAGGCAAAATATTGTTCTACTCCGTATTTCTCATTCACAATCATTTTATTTACACTCTCAAATGAATGTTGCTTGTTTTGTGGACAATTTAAAGCCTTGTAAGTACTAAATGATATTTTATACATTAAACTTAATCATAATACAGTCGATATTCAATATGTTAGTTTGATATTTACTATGAAACTTGAAGTCACTTTCTCAATCTTCATTAGTTTGGGACAATATTTGACTTGACATAATTGTCTTTAAAAGAAGAGTAGTAGTGGTTGAGTTATAAATCATTTATTATTCAATAGTATGAGAAAGTGTTAATTTTATCAACTGAAAAAAAGGATAAGCAAAAAATATTGGAATATGCACGTACACACACGAATACACGAGTTAGTATGGTGCATTCGTGTACTTCATTTATATGATCAGTCAAAAAGCTAAGAGAAATTAAAAAGGATCAGAAAAGGGACGAAGAGGAAGACAGTATCAAGAAATGTGAAAGGGACAATTCAAGGATAAAGTTTGTCAGTTTCTTTCCAATAGTTGTGAAATTAGTAGTAGTAATAGTAGTCCATAAAAAAAGTTGAAACAATTCATTCATGACTTGGGCATTAGCAGTTAAATATCGATAAATAAATATGTGGTTTAAGTGTGATGAATAATAAATATTGAAATCACAAATACGCTTATTTCATAGTAAATAATTACTGAACACAACCAATTTGATTAACCTTGATTATGTTGTAGTTCTTTTAAAAATCTTAAAATATACATAAACAGATTTAATATATCCAAGTATAAATCAACGCATGCCATAATATATTCTTCCGGTGAACAATGATGCATTATTCGCCAAGTATCATAAACTATGAATAAACTGAATAGGCAAGCACCACCGGCTGCCATACATAACTCCAATAATGATGAACCTAGAAATAACTGTAAAGAGTGTTTAACACAAAACAGCAAAAGACAATGAAAAAATACAGGGAATGAAGGAATAATATAAAACATAGCAAAATTAGAGAGTAAAATCAATGATCAATTCTTATAGGATCGATGGATAGCAGTGAAATTCAGTAGGCGCACTTCATTTCATTTGGAACTTGACAGAAGGATGTACCTAACTACATGCCTAAATTTGAGTGTTAATGTTCACATCGGGACACAAATTCAATACCTATCACTTAAAACGCCACCGAGTACGGACAATAGTCACAACCTTGTTCAATGCATATGATTTTCATGTCACTATTGATAAATGTTCAACTTAACACGTTGTTGATATTAAACGAAATGGTTATACATCTAGGCAATCTGAACATATGATAGCACAGACTAATCAAAATTTAATCAAGAATACAAACAATAGGGTAATCCAAAAGTTGATTGATAATGAGATGTCAACCATCAATGTCATTGTCATACTATAAATACAGCTTGATTGATTTGAAAATTCAACAAACTATCATTTAAAATTGCGCTGTATTGAAAAGCACTACGTAGTTATTATAATATCACTAAGACAACGAATCAGAGATTATATGGAGTATGGTTGCATTGAATATTCGCTGAGTAGTAAATAATTTTATGTTAGTCTAGTCTTTAGTTTTGATTAAATTCTATCGATGAAGTTGCAATATGGTCACTACTATAAGTGACTCGACATCTCAATGTGTTGCTCTGACGTCAGGTGGTTGGTGGTAATCGACAGGAAACTCTGGATCTAGGTTTTGAATTGGTACATATCAGCAAGGCATACCTGAACTCTTGAGTAGGATTCAAACTGATGTCCCCAGCTTAACAGTTTGAGACGTTACTGCCGAGTTATTCGGGCCACAAATAACCTGCTGTAGGATCGAGTAAATATGTTCGTATTGATAAATGATACTTTTGAACTCTAAACTAACGTGAAATCAATTTTAATACGAATGACTGATCTGACAATAGAATTTTAAGAAATCAGAAGCTTGATAACTAAGGAATCCTAGATAGTCTACAGTAGCTTAATAAATAAAACATCCATCTTACAACCAATAACGCGCTTAATGTACTTCAGTCTGTGCATTTAAAGTGGTATCACTAGTCCTCACATGTACAAAGTGGAAAAAATTCAGTACATAAACATTATATATGATAAACGGGTTAGATTTACATAGGAACTATCATATTACAGTTGCGTTCCAGATTACAACTAATGTAAAAAAGCATCACCTTAGAAATACTTATATACGATATTGTTAAGGTAGATTTTCTAAATGGAGATCTTCATCACAGATTGACATCAGCTAGAGAAAATGAGTTCGATAGCATGTGAGGCTGTGAGTGAACACTGATAACAAGTAATAAACCAAAATGAAATATCTATCTAGTATCCCTATATCTTAGTAGTTTTACAGTTGAGGCTAGTTTTTGTCCCAAACAGCCTCACAGCGTTGATAGTATGGTGGGGGAATTAGTACAAATGGGCATTTTAATGATAGATTATGTTAAATAAACAATGGAAATGTCAACAATAATTACATCAACTTACGTTAATGGGTCCAACTAATAGTAAAATGAGAAAAGCAACTGATAATCCTACACCCCATTTACTGAAATCTTTCTTGGAATTCAGTGTGTACAACATCAAAGACATAACAACTATGGTGGTTAATATAAATGCTTGAAGTACAACAGTTGCAGAATATGTAATCACTTGGAGAGTAAAATAAAACAATTAAAAAGTAAGTCATCGATAATAATAATGACAATAATAATAGTAAACCAATAATTTATTTAATAAATGCTAAATATTTGGGTACAGTGGGAGATTCCGGGGTCAACATAAATTAGTTAATATAAATTAACATAAAGCCAGATTAAACAGATTGCAGGTTTACACGATTTCAAATAAAAAAATACACAATTCGCAAATTCCAGCTATGAAATTAAACTTCGGTTTTATTTGTCAATAAAAAGTGCCGAAATACCAGAGTTTGACCGATACGCCCTCGGTGGTGGTTTTTAACAAATTAATTGTAAGAGCTATAGATATTATACATGGCATCAGTTCATGAAGACACTGGTTATTGTACTGGGTCATGTAGGTGCAGATTACCTGGTTGGGAACCGCTTGATTATTGTAACCAACGGTTAGAGACTTTGTGTGACATTTGCAATGGCTCAGATGCATTAACTCTTGGTCTTTTCTTAGATCATAAGTGTCTAGATTCCTCGTGAAAGTTTTTTCCATCTCAGTAATTTAAATTCTCTAAAATCATATATTTATTGCCTAATATTTCCTATAATCCTTGATACAATTACCACCCTTACTACTCTAGGATTTGGCCTGACAATATCATGTCGTTATGGTAATTGGTTGTGATAACTTGCAGCGATGTGGACATGTACTAGGTTCTACGTTGCGTTAATTCAACGTCAATTCAAAAGTTGTTGAGAACTACTAGTCGCAGCAAGTAGTACTGAATAAATGATGAGAACAACAGAATTTTCGGAACCATACGATTACGAGATCTCTTTAAAAACTATTTTAGATAATCAAACAGATTAAAATACTGGAATTATTGGAATTTTTAAAGACACAGAATTCTGGACTCTATTTCTAATCAGGCAAAACATAATAAACACGACATGAGCGTTACGAAAACTTGTATTTAACTAAATTAACATGATAGAATACTAAACTTGAGTACAATTTGCTACATGATATTATCAAGTATAAAGGTGATCGAAACATTGAACGTAACTACGGCAAACGGCTTAGTGAGCCACTGTGATATTAACAACTAATACTATGGGAGTTGGAAAACCCTGGTTCCAAACCAATGGTGTACATGGGCTCCAGGATCCTTAGGGAAAAATGGCGTATGAACCAATCGTTGGTCACCGGCTACCAAAGGAACTGCATCTCCTGACACTGCACCACTGCCTTGTGGATCAGATCTTTAGGTCAAACGCCCCGGATGCGGCCCCTAAGAACACCACTTGCTTCGGTCTTGGCACCCGGGTAGTATCACAGCTCACTCATAAATCAAGTGACTTGTAAGGCGCATATGTATTAGGTGCTCCTTTGTGCCAATATTTATGTGTTCAAATAAATAAATAAATGTAATAGGTTGGTGGGAGTCAATGGAATATTACGTATTTGTGTAAAAGTCAGAAAGTTGAAATGGCGTCTCGAGATCAAACGATAAATGGGAAATTATAAACGAGGAACGTTATCAAAGGAGGTCGGTTATGCACCTGGTCAAGACTACAGACTACATATCGCTATCTAGTTCAGGTAGGATAAATACATAGATACCGATGATTTAAGTACATTATTGAATGGTTTTGTTAATTAAAGTTTCCTGGTAGTTTCTCAATCTTTTTACTGGAATCTATCATCGGTATAAAAAGCGTGAGCATTATGTAGCCAAAAAATGGACGTTATGGATCGTATCCTTACTACAGTCGTCCTTCTAAGCTATATATCTTCTCCACCATCTTTAATAGATGACATTGGCATATGATTTAATGATAAAAATTGAAATCAATAAAACGCTGTTATATTAAGAATAAACAATCAATCGGTAAATTTAAAATACATGGTAATTTTAAACGTTTGTCGTTAAGACTACCAACATAACCTTACATACCTGCATATCCCACGAGTATAGATTCACATATAGTCTAAACACAGGATAACCATATTTTTTAAATGGAAACTATTAAATATTTATGAACTTACAAATAAGTATAATAATATAAAATTAGTTGGTGTTTCCTGTCTTTTCCACATTAATCCCAATAGAATTCCGATTGTACTTATGATAAGTATAATTGGTAACCATGTACTAGAAAAATAAAAACGAGTAGTAAAAATTACCAGTTCACCAGAAAATAACAACGTACTTCTGTCGAAGGTTATCCAATAGAACAGGTTTTAAAATCATCATTGTTCCAGAACATAATGAAGTGAGTAAAAGTTGTGTGAATAGAATACCGTAGACTTTTCGTAAAAATCCTTAATTCAAAAAAGACAACAATAGACATTTTAATTCGAAAGATTAATGACTTCATATTAATTATTAATGTCAATCAAACAGACGGTGAATGTTTGTAAGTTCAGAACATCGGTTACCAAGATATGTCAGGAGTATATGTATAAATAACACACAGTGATCTACTCAGATTTTTGGGTTACCATTTTTCTGAAAGTATGTTTATTGCCATAAATTTTCCTCATTGTGGCTTGCTCAAGTTAAATGATTATGCCCACTGCATGCGTTTCCGTAAACAATCAACAAACTGACTCTACGGTTCCTATATTCGTTTGAAAATCTGACATGGTTATCTACAAGTTGATGAAGAACATGAGATCACAGATGTAATAATTATCCGACTACCCTCTCGTTCTTCAGCTTGCGTTGATAGATATTAACTTTTAATGAAACCAGTTTCACGAAACATTAACGGAAAAAATTGTTTATTAAAACTATAAAACTATAGATATATTGTCATGTCGTTTATGGATAGACAATGTAGCAAACTTACTTAGTCGAACTGTTACATGCGCATTAGCGACATTGTTATTGAAGGCGAAATCTTTTTCAATGGGATGTCCAGATTCTTGGCTGATAAGAAATGAATCCATATTTATGTAAGCACTGTAAAAACTGAAACGACCTAGTGATGTGTAAAGGTAAAACAAAAATAGATTAATTACTGGCAATATCACTTACTAAAAAAGCAACAGATAGACAAACATAATAGCAAAACATTCCCTCAGTTTAAGTAGTTGTAAGGAACGAATTCAAAAAATAAACAAGCATAACCGTGTGAATAAGAAACAGATGACTAGAATTATGACAGTCATAATAATAGTGAAGTAATGAAAGCATTCCAGTTAGTTGTCGTCAAATTTGGCACGGCTATATATTAGTTTAAATCGTTACACTTTACATTACATTGAGAAAAAAGTGAACAAGGTGAGAAGCGAAGACGAAATAACTTCAACTGTAATGAAAATCTAAACATGAGACAATTAGTTAGAAAACATGAATGAAATTCAAGAATGAAAAATCATTGACATGTGACTTTAGGTTTAAAAAAGATAAAAAGTGAATGGAACTGTACCACTGCAGTGGAACCAATTTTAAACTCATTTTTGCGAAATGAAAAAGTCATGAAGTCAGTTCTATCTGCCTACCACGATTATTGTCCAGAAACCTTGAGACAATGTGGCAATTGTATGTGATTGGATTACAAGCACTTGTTCATTTCAGAATAACGAATTAGCTCCACCTAAATCACTAGTTATAAAAGGAGAGATTGATGCGGCTTTAATGGAAATTATGGAAGGGAAGGTATTACATTCAGGGAAGTTTGTTTTATCTTGAACACATTACAAAAGTATATGCTTTAATTATCTGTAAGTGTCATTAGTGTTTTAAAAACGTGCGGAAATGTTGAGTCAAAGTTCATTGGGAGTGGTATTTACTACCATATCGGGCTAAAAACCAGTCTGTTAAGATATGTCGAAATTTGTTTGTCCGTTTTGAATCTTGAGTATACAGATTAGAGAACAAATGTAGATGGGCTGTCGTTGTATAAGAGGTCTAATCAACAATTATGGCCTATATCAGCCCGCATTGTTGCACCTAAAATTAGCGATGTCTTCTTGGTAGGCGCCTTTGATGAAAAACAAGACCTGCCATAATCAATACCCGTAACAGCACACGAGACCAAGTTGATCACATTCAAATCCTCCCTACACCTCCTAATACCTCTCTAAACTCCACGACTAACCTTTCTCACGTCCATTTATCACCTCGCACAGCTAGGGCAAACGATTCGAGTACGCGGAACGTTATTCCTGGTCTCCTGAAGCTACGCTTTAAACTACACGTAGGAGCTTTTAACTTCCGAATCATTTCTGTGCTAATGTGGTGTGGCAACATGAACTGATGTACGAAGTTCTACGTTGTTACTGACTGACAATGAGATTTCGGTCGACTTTATTTCCAAACTAAAAATGGGAAACCCTAGTTTAGACTGTTTAAAGCTTAATAGATAGGTAGCTGCAAAACTCATAGTATTACTTCTTTGTTTTAATTTTGAAAACTTAGAAACGTTAACTCATTTATTATCTAAACCCAAATTATGCGTCAGTCCCATTGAACTTGTGAGCAAGGATTCAAATAATTTTCCACGATATTGTGTTACGGTGCCGAACACTTAGCTTACAACAATCATTCATTAAAGCACACTGTTGATAACATCAACCTGAGTGATACTTTATATTGATACTCCTCATTTCCCTTTGATTCCTATATTTAAGGGATAAAAATGAAAGTACACCACGGATACAATGCTGTTTGGCGTTATACTGAAAAGATTTTCTCTGTAATCGGATACAAGGGAGTTACTTACTTACTTACGCCTATTACTCTCAATGGAGCATAGGCCGCCGACCAGTATTCTCCAACCCAAGGGAGTATTTGTTGCTAATACCGAGAGTTTAGTTAACTGAGGTTTTCAGAAACCGGTTGAAGTCGTTCAAACCCGATAACATAGTAAGAGTTAAGCCGGACAAATTGTTGATATCATGCTCTTATGTTAACCATAGATTTTTTCATGGGATTACTCCCTTTTTGTGATATAGAAATATTCACGTACTTAGTAGTTAATCATGAGCACATATGAGCACCTATTAATGTAACATGTGTATATAGCTACAAACTGTGTAGACCATGAAGTAATAGTTCTCCATTACACGGGTTTTTATAATGAAAATTTGCATTTCTGAACTATTTTGAATAACAAAATAAAGTTTAAATTTTTTCAAACTTAAATCCAAAAATCTCGCTGCAAACAATTCTTGATTGAGAAGCAAATTTTCTTTATAGCAAGCAAATGACTTGTTAATCAAAAACTGCATGAATGCGGATAACTTCGGAGATATTAGGTTAACAAACAACGTGGATCCGGACGAGTTGGTCAACTATTACGTGTGTGGTTCTACTGTGCTTCGATCATTTGCAAACACAAATGATTTTCCTGCAGATGTTTTTCTCTACTGCATCTCATTTGATTCAGTCACTTAACGATTTAGTTGGTCACTAACTTTCCCCTGCAAACAGAAAAACGCAAAACATTCAGCGTTTCTGTTAACTGTTTGCAGAGACGTGGTCAAGAGAGCGTCTGAGAACTTTTATAATTCTATAGATTTAGATATTGCAAAGTACGCCTGGATACAGTAGAGTTGAATATCTGAAATTTTGATTGCTACAAACACTGACTTCAACTGCAAAGTAATTACTTTGCAGTTGACAAACCTAAGTTTGTTACTGCCATAGATTGATACATATTCAACCAAAACACAACTGTTATTATCAGTCAGTACCTCGATGTCTGTCACTGGTTTCATGAATTAGGTTAGTTGTGAGAGCGTTATAGCGTTCATTTGTAAGCAATTCCTATAAAGGTGAGAAATCATGAGAAATGTCCCAATATCTATACCGATCTGAAAAGGTGATTATCTGATGCATTGCCACGTATATTATACTTCAGTTTGCCATTAATTTCCGTACCTCATCTCATCTGCGAACTTAAACTAATTGTTCAACCCAGATGATTGAACGAAAATTTGTCCACAAAAAAGAAAAAAAACCTTCCCCAAAACCACTTTTCGATTTGTTATCTTTTATTTCTCCTATTTTTTATTTAGGATGTGATGAACAGTTTTGTATGGGACGGTCTAGAAGCCGAGATAGGCGAAACAGAATAGAACACTGTGCCAGAGTGAACCATATACACTCAAATTATTCAAAGTGACTTACGTTCAAAACTCAGATTACTGAACTAGATTGGAACAAAAATTGACGTTGAACGACCTTGATTAGAAACGTCAGATTCGGAAAACAGGGTTTCAATATGCAATATATTTAAACATATTCCCTTCTATTAGTTTTTTTCGAATTTTACGTCTTAAAATTTTATTCAAGCTGATGCTTTATCGTTGTTGAACATCAAGGTTAAGGTGCATCAAGGTGGATTGGTCTTCTTCCTCTCTGTATTCGTAAAGTTTAGTTCAACTGGTATGAGCAAAACTCCTTAAGACTCTGAGCTCGACACCTCTTTCGACCAGTTTTAACACCATGCTACTAAAGTTAGATCATGGAACATGGCGTTCCATTAACAGATGTACGTTAGTTTTCTTTGACCTTCTTGAAGATCGGTGAATCATCTGACATTCGGTGACTCAACTGCTGGGCACAGCCAGGCTGTTACGCCATGGGTTTTCGCTCGCATATAACATATTATCGAGGATTTTGAGATATCGTTATTTGCCAGCTATAAACAGTTTTCTTTCCGTTTCACGGTAATTTTTGTAACGTTTTTGCTTGTTACATGACATTTATTGCGGTTTAGTAGTAGTTTGATATATTTGTTGCTAACAACCTGCGGCAAAAAGATGACTTAAATATGAAAAAATTTGATGCTCATGCAACCCAACAAACCCACGGCAATTGACTTACAGAATGACCGCCCCTTGCCAAGCCGTTTACGGTCGTTGAAACGAAAGGGCAAGCAGTTTTAAAAGATTCTGACGTTTTTCCCGTGCGCAACTGCTCGTTTTAGCTAGAGGTCAGTGATATTTCATTGACCCTACACTATAAAAAGATGTGATTCCAGGTCATGTATTTAGTAGATTCAGTATGTAGGGGGTTTGCTTTCGTTAGTTTAGACTTAACCTCAGGCCAAGTGAATGTGCGTCTCAGTTATAAAGAAAAGCATATTAATCACACGACTTGGTTTTTCAGATAACGTGAAATTTACTCATTATCTGAATTCTAGCATTCATTGTTTTTTTAGTTTTGAGAAAAATATTCAAAGCCTTTATACTTATACATTCTCACTCAGCAGTGTGATATATATCAACTATAAACTCAATAAGTTGCGAAGAATTTTGTGAACCAACAAATGTTGTAATTTATAGATCATGCCTGTAAAAATGGTGTGTACCTGCGCATGCAGAAATATATATTAATTTATAATTTATACTGATGAGATGTTTTTTATCATGTATTTCAGGAATTTGTTAAGATGGCAATGAAAAGGTACTGAAATTCCTTGGAGAAAGGCGAAAACCTAAACACTATTGTGCTGGCAATCTGTGGTATACAAGCTGGACTGCGCTTTGAAGCAATATGTAGAAGTTACACAAGCTAGACATATACATTGGTAATAAAAAATTCAAGTACTTGCGGATAAAACAAAGTGTGAAATCCTGAAGACACTATACAATAATCTGCACCACCTAATATATATCTTTAGAGAATTATTCACGAAGTAGTTATGTTATAGCTATAATGACACATACCTATCGTCAAACTACTTAGACCTTGAAAACATTGCTATCAAACTATTGATAACTTTTAGTTCAGTTACATTTGAGCTTATCTGCTAAAATCCTCAACTGTAAAAAAGCAAAGCCATTCCAAAATGCATGTTTGTTGGTCACAGAGCAGTGACCGATGTCTTGTTCTTCGTATTATTGTAGTGTATAAAGATCAAGACTAATAAGTTACGGGAAATCATTCACTTGTATTGGACAAACGTAAACTGGCTGTTTCTCACTGTGAAGACCGGTAGAAAATAGCAATGCATCATATATGTATTGAGTTGATGTGGCTATTTTGCATATATTTTTATGGAGGAGCTCGATTGTAACTACGATCAGTATCGAAGATGCATGTTTCGCACAGCTTTAAACTCGTCAGCTGCATGTTGATGTCTAAACCACGGCTCAAAGGCACACATACTAACAACGATTGATATTCAGCTAGTAATATAAACAATGGGATAATACCATCCGTTTTTGAGCATGGTGCAAGCATCACAGCGGTCAGGCAGGCGAGCAACCGTCTAGAATCTGTAGCTGAGAGCGTAACATGTCGGTATTTGGAGTGAGACACTGGATTTGAGGAGTGGTACGAAGTATATTGTCATTTGCTTTAGAACCATTTACATTCATATATAAGTATCTGGAAAAGTTAATACTGCCTTTTGAATTATTCGACATCGAGTATTCTGTCCCATCGAACCTAACAAGTAGTACAGACTCGGTTATATCTGCAAAGTTGTAACGTATACATTGTTCCAAGTAATCCGATATCGCCATTACTGCCTTAATATTGGGTACGTGAAAGTTATCGGGAGAAAACTATATTTGACTTCGTGAGATTGTTTTAATAGCGACAACAGGAAAACCTTAAGATAATAGACGTTCGTTCTGGGAAATAAATGGTATCTAACGCAATCGTAATGTAACTGACAACAAAATCAAGGCGAACTAAGCAAAGACAACCTGTTGACATTTAGTTTCACGAAAAAAAAACAGTAGACAAATAAAGATTTGTTTGTATTTGTAATTATGCAATTAAAGATAACTACAGAACAAAAAACATACACAAACAGTTTGTCAAGGGATACTCCCCAAAGTAATTCGATTTACATTTATCTTCATGCGTATAATATCAAGGAAATATTCCTTTTAAAGCTGTTGCTTTTGTCATAATGTAGTATAAATAGCACGATAGAATCAAAGTAAAATATAAAGACTGCTAATAGGTGATTGTCACACAATAACATAGAAATATAAAATCAAAGAATAAAGGCTAAATATAGGTAGTATATTGAAATAAGTGAACAGTTTTATTCTATATCGAATAATAAATCATCACCAGATACTTTCATTCCACTGGAAACGTAAATCTTTTTAATACAACCTGAAATGGGTGCTGTTATGCTCATTTCCATTTTCATAGCTGACAATGTAGCTAATTTTTGACCTTTCTCTACAACATCTCCGTCTTTCACATTGATTGTTACTAATTCACCAGGCATTGGTGAACCAACGGAGCCTTTGACACCTTTCAAAGCCTTCGGATGAAACGATATCGACTAGAAACAAAAAATAAATAAGATGAGGGGAGTTTGTGTGGGAGAGAATGAAATTTGTAGACGAATATTGTGTAGCGAACATCGCGAATTTGGATATCAACTCAGTGGTCTAAAGGTTAATTGCTCTTCAAGATATCCCAGGATCCTGGACTCGGTTTCTAGCAAGGTCGTTGGTAAGCACTGCTACCGAGGAGCTCCATGTTAGAACGGAGTGAACGTTTACTTATTCCTAGTTTCCAATGGTTATCTAATTCTAGTTTTTGATGTAAAAAACAAGAAAATCATTCCAAGTCTTATGAATGAAGTGAGTTTCAGTAGGGTTCGCTGGGAAAGGGATATAAATTGTAATGTGTAAATCCTGATAAAATTTGAAGCACATCACCAGGTCAAGATAGACGTCTTATATACTGAAGAGATTTCATCACTTCAAGCAGCCAAATTTGTTCCTATCCACACAATGTGATGCTTCATAACGCAAATAAAGGTAGAAAAATACTCATCACATGACACCCTCGACTGCATATACCAAACTAAATGTAGACGCCAAAGCATATACATTTGAAGGACAAAATGATGAGGATTGCACATTTTTTCGACCATATTCCCACGAACCTATGTTTTCGACGAAAAAAGGTCTTCTGAGTTCGACTACACGCCAACTGTTAAATACGGTATACAAAGTGCATGAATAATCCATTCAAATTGTTTAACATAAAAGTCAATTATCTCGTAAAATTCGAAGGCTCAAACCTGACCTTTGTGTTCAGAAATGGTCAGTGGTTAATCATCAGCTGCCTTAGTAATACAAGTGAACTAAACATTTTGGTCTTTTTTCATCTTTTCCTTCAGTTAATTTGTCACAATCTAGTAAGGTCACGCGTCTTGTCTTCTACATCTCCTAAATTTGTGTTATTTTGTACAGCAGAAAAATAATCTTAAATTTAACAGGGGTATCCTCCTGTCGACTACTTCCAACCATCATATTATCTCAACATGGTGCACGCAATTTCGAGTCACCTAGACTAGTGGTCAAATTGCGACTTGGTCGATATAATTCGATGTGCACTAAGAAGGACCTGACACACATAACATTGATCACCACCCAGTGATCACCTAATTGTAAACGGATATTTTTTATAACCAAGATAAATACATCGACTGATCCCTGAATACCGGGCATTGTCACGCTTCGTACTAGATAGATTACTTTGGAGGAATCAGTAAAAAGGGAAATTAGAGAAACATATCTTCAAAATTACCTTTGTAGCTTCTTTATCACTAATCAAAATTGATCTAAGTTGGCCATTCATTTCGAAGAATACTTCACGTTCCCCGGCTTTGGTTAATTCACCGACAGCCAATGTTTTAATATGTAACATTTTACCGGTCTCCAAGTCGACCTGTTTAAGGAATAGTTTATCATATGTGAAACAAATATGTTAGCTTAAAGTGTAGATAAAAAATACTTATTCTGAAGAGTGATAAAGGACTATCTGAACATATTCATATCAAAGGGAAATAATTTGTATCCTAGAATGTAAATTTTATGTAGTTTGTCTGTAACCAACGGTTCATTGTATAGGAACCAATTATAAAGTACTGAGAGAGAGCGAGGGAGAGGTAGATAGATACACAGACATGAAACTGGAAATTCTCAGAACTTTAAATTATTTCTTTATAATATAACTCGTTAGTACAACATAGTTACTAGTTAGTTGTGTATCGACCCAATCTCCTAAGTTTGGGGAAATCTCAAAAGTCAAATGATCTTCATCAAAGTTCGGAGAAAAACCCAAAATTTAGGGGAATTTCAGGGAAATCCCCAAAGTCAAATGACCTTCATCAAGATTAAAGGGGAATTTCCCCAAAGTTTACTATAGCGGCTTCCCGAAAATTGAGAGCTCGGGATATGTTTAGCTGGGGCAACACTATAGATATTATTCTAAGAT